ACACCCTAAACCTAAACCCTACACCCTAAACCCTAAAGTATGGGGCCAGAGTCCGAGGTTGCTTCTCCTCCTCCGCGCTGAGGAGCCCCTGCCGCCGCTTCCGCCAGGTCGCTGAAGGTTTGGGTTAGGGGTTCAGGGGTTTAGGGTTTAGGGATTTAGGGTTTAGGGTTTAGGGTTTAGGGTTAGGGGTTTGAGATTGAGGGGTTCAGGGGCCTAGGGTTTAGGGGTTCAGGGGTTCAGGGGCGCAGGGTTGAGGGATTTAGGGGTTCAGGGTTTAGGGGGGTTCAGGGGCCCAGGGTTTAGGGGTTCAGGGGCCCAGGGTTTAGGGATTTAGGGGTTTAGGGGTTCCGGGGCCCAGCGGTTTAGGGTTCTCGGGGTTCAGGGGTTTAGGGGTTTTTGGTTGGGGTTCAGGGTTTTAGGTTTTAGGGGTTCAGGTTTTAGGGTTTTGGGTTTTGGGTATAATGGTTTTCATGGCTTTGCCAGTCGCAGTGCCCTTCGTGTTTTGCTCCGGAACTTAAGGTTCCAGATATAACCATGTCAGTCCTGGGGAGAGCGAGCAGCGGTGTTGCTGCTATTGCTCCCGCTAATGCTGTAGGACACTGTCGTTGCAAGGATGGCAACGAGGATGATGATCAGGAATCGTCCGAAGTTCGAAAAATCATGCTCAGCTATGAGAACAGCAGTCCTGCATCGTACACCCTGTCCGCTCCAGAAATGAATGTGGGTCGAACACCTGGAACCCCAAACCATCTGAAACTGCCGAGAGAAGTCGTAGAACCCGTGTGGCCCTGGGCATTGAAACAGGCCCGACCATGTTGCAAGCTAATTTACCAGGCAGCAAGTTGGGAAACTTTAAAATTCCCTTATGGTCTCTTTAGAGGTACCTATTCATAAATATTTTTCAGGGCCCCAAAACTACAACCCAGTTTAGAGCTCCCGAAGATGGAACCCAGAAGACAGTGGAGCGCTGCTGGCCTCGGAGGGAAGCCCTTCCTACCTGTGCAAAGATCTTTCGAAGGATGGTTTAGAGTTTAGGGTTTAGGGTTTACCCGTAGCCATAAGAAAACTCCGGAGTTTGTTGAAGCTTTCAAACAATCGGGACCTGAGGAATCACACAGGCCTATACCCGGAAACACCCACACCCTAAGCCCTAAACCCGAAACCCTAAACCCGAAACCCTAAACCCTAAACCCCGAACCAGCCCGTGAAGTCTGCTGCCGAAACACAGCGTTTGGGGTTTAGGCTTTGCTTAAAGGATCATGGGACTTAGTAAGTAGGGTTATAACTAAGGTAACTGTACTTATAACCCCAATTAGGGGACTTCTAACCTTGCTTACTAAGTCCCATGATCCTCCAACCCTAAACCCTAAACCCTAAACCCTAAACCCTAAACCCTAAACCCTAAACCCTAAACCCTAACCCTTAGCCATACTTAACTAAGTCCCATGAGCCTCCAAGTAAGCCTTTGGACCATGGCC